ATTGTCCCAGTGTGTGCCCACATTGTGATGTTGTCTGTAAAGATGTTGGAATGAATGACCAGAATGGGCAGAAGCTCTTGGCGCTATGCGATATTCCAATCGAGGTTATGTTTATGTAGGCATAAAGGAGTCTCCAAGGACGGAGCAAATAAGTGTATGCATGCTTTATCTTCATTATGAATATAAAACTTGCCAAATATGGCGTGGTTTAAAAGAAAAATAAGTGTGTGAGTATGTAATAACTATGTACTTCCAATAACACGTGATATACATGCTTGTCTTTTTCAATAAAGTTGTATACACAAGACTCGTTTTCATCCTTTCCATCTCAGTAAATTCTCTGTTTTGGGAGGCAGCAGAAGCACCAGATCCAGACCCAGTGCGCGACACCTCTGGAAAATTGCTCAGCACGAAAAATACATACTACATTTTGCCAGTCAACCCCTGGAGCGGTGGTGGACTTGAACTAACCAAAACCAAAAACATGGCCTGTCCACTTGATGTTGTCCAAACCGGGGATGATAACACTCGGCATTCCCGTGGCATTTTTTCCAGTAAATCTCAATAAAGTTGTTATCCATGTATTTACTGATTTGAACATCGCGTTCCCAAACAAGTACACGGTATGTCCCGAATCACCTCTGATGTAGGACAAATGACGTTAGAGTTTGAAGAAGAATTGGACCGAAAATTGTCAAAACGAGCTGTTTTGAAGAAATGGGCATAACTTTTTACACCAGTGTCAGAATTTCTATTATAATATGTTTTCGGAAACGTCTTGCAGTGCTCAAATTTCTCGCATATTAGGCATGTTTTATATTCATAATCGAGTTCCCCGGTTGACATCGTTTTCAGCCTTAAATTTGCAGTTTAAGGCAGTCTACCTGGAACTTGAAGTTTTTGTTTTTTTTTTTTTTGGCTTTTAATTGTTTTAATTAAGTAGATGCCTATTTTGGTCTTTTTGCTTAAATTAGGGTTTTCAGAGACTATTTAAAGACTCTTTGTTTTTTCTGAATAATAGATTTTCGTTTGTGAGATTAATTTTCTTGAGAGTTACAATTTTCTTTTGTTGGGGATTACGCTAGTAAACCCTAGAATTTCCTTTCTGCGTCAACCTCTTTGGAAACTCGATCACTACAATACGTATGGTCCATTGAACAGGGTTTTCTTCATCACTACTGGTGGAGTTGTAGGAAACCCTTCGCCTGGGACGCTAGGAAACTGGTCATTCCCCTAGTGTGCGCAATTATTGTGATGTTGTCCGTAAAAATGTTGGAATTTATGTCCAAAATGGACAGCGTCGCTTGGCTCTAAAAAATGTTACATTTAAGGTTGTGTTTAAGAGGGCATAAAGGAATATACAGGAACCATTCAATTACATGCATAAGCATGCACGTCTTGTTCAATAAAGTTTTCTAAATAACTCTTCATAAGGTTATTTACTAAATGCTTTATGTTTTGAAGTATAAACAGCTATGTGTGTATTAAAAACAAACATGAAAGGACATAAAGTCAGGCCCTCCGACTATATGTACAATGAAAAATGCAGTATTTGTAACTCTGAATAAAAAAGAACAGGAAAGAACATAAAGTCGAGCCCTCCGACTATATGTACAGTTAAATTTAAGAGAAAAATAAGACAATACAAAGAGAATAGAATTGTATTGAATAGTGTGATTTGTTTACAAGAGAGTCATCCTATTTATAGTTTAACTTAATAGGAATATTTTACTTTTTAATCA